CCCGCACCCCCGAGGTCCAGCCCTATGGGACCACCCCGGCAGCCCCCCAGCGGCTCTGCCCCAGGCGTCCCTGATTCAGCCGCTGGTCAGTTTTAGCAGCGGCTGAATTGGGGAACCTGGGGGCAGAGCAGCTCGAATGGTCCGCCTGCCCAGAGCACTTCCGGGTTCCTGATGGTGCCGGACCATCAGGAGTGCCGGACCATCAGATGCCGGACCATCGGAGTTTTACTGTACCATGTATTTAAATATTTTTGAATGTTTTCACCTATAATGATTTAAATTCCAAGAATACAACCCTAATGGTGGGTTCTGCTTAACAAGAATCCAAAGCAGATCACACTGCTACGCAGTCATTTAAATCGTTTGAATCAGATGCTACCAACAAAAGGTTGATTTTCTTTTTGGGTGGTTTGGGTTCCATCGTTTCCATATTGGAGTGTTGCTCTTTTAAGACTTCTGATTAATCTGTTCCATTCCTGGTCCTTCTCAGATTTTGGAAGAGCTGGCAGGGGAACCAGTGGTGGCTGGGAACCTGAAGTCCTGGTGGCAGGGGTGCACCCTAAGCATTTGATTTAGCGGGTTGTTACTAGACCTGCTAAATCGAATCCCAGAAGATCAACTGCCAGAGCATCGATTCTCCGCTAAGTGGAGACGTGGCCTGAGTAATAAGCAGCTGATCCCGTGTGACACTGTACTTCCCTAGGAAAACTTAACATTACTTTGAAAACAAACTGAGGTCCATAATCTCTTCAAGCATAAATATATGCAGTAAACACCCATTAAAGTCTCAGTAGTCTGAGCAGCAAAAGCATGGGTCACATGTCACTTTTGGACATCGAGAATAATCACTGGCTATCACTAAGACACTTATTCTTCTCTGTAAAGCCGCTATGGTGTCTTCACCCAGGCTTTGTAGCATGCTTCCATAAATGATGGTGTGGTTTGTGGTAGGGATGTTAAATTGTGGGTAATCAGCTAATAGAGTGGTCAATGGAAATTCCATTGATTAGTTATTAAGGGGAGAAACTGCAGAGCTGCAGCAGGGGGAACCAGAAATAAGCCAGGACAGCTGATTCCCAGCTCCCCTCTGATGCACTTAAGCTTTTTAAATGTATTAACCAACTAATTTCTCTTTCAATATCTTAGTAGTTTTTGATAACCAGACTGAGACTAATCCAACTTTTCATATTCACTATTTTTTGATGATCTTGTAATTCAGCCACCATCCTAACATGTATGCTTTGTGGTAATACACTAAAACCTCTTTAATACAGCAATCTTCGGAAATAGGCTATGACAGATTATGGAATTTTCTGGACCATGGTTGTTTGCCATAATGAAGGACACTGGAAATGTGGGGTCTGGGAGGGAGGAAGGGTGCAGGAGTACTGGGAGTGTGGAGTCTGGGCATGAGGGGGTGTCACATTTACCTACTTCTGCACCCTCTGCGGCTCCCAGGCACTGCCCTCTGTTGCTATGGGAATTGTGGGAGAAAAGCCTATAGAAAAGTGCTTCGCTACACTGCTGTTCCACCAGCTGGAGGGTAGGAAGAATGGCTGTGCAAAGAGCCTCTTCCTTCTCCCCCATCAGGGTTCAAATCACAGGTCTTCCTGGATCAGGGACAACCAGATTAGAGGTTCAAGTGTATTACCTTCAAACTGCATGCTAAACAGATATGGCAGGAGTAGGCAATAATTTTTGAAGTGGCCCCCAGCAGCCCTGGAAAGAAGGGGGTTGGGCCAGGATACTTCTGTGCTCCCCTGTAGACAGACTCTGAGTGGCTTGTGGACGGAGGGAGCATGTGAAGTCTTTTTCCCCCGGCTCCTAGAGTGAACCGCCAGCTGTTCTCTCTAGGTACCGCGTGCACCTGCTGGCAGGAGGAGACTTCGTGTGCTATCCCCACCCCCAGGACAATCAGGACCTGGAGGCATGAGCGCATACACAGTCTCTCGCTCCCTGCCCTGCAAAGGGCACATGGTATTTAGAGTGAACCGCCAGTTGTTCAAAACAGCTGGCAGTTCACTCTAGGCCAGTGGTCACCAACCAGTAGATTGGGATTTACCAGTAGATCTTGGAGCATCTGATAGGTGATCCTGACTTGTTTGGCCAGGAAGCTTTCAAGTGCTGGCACTTCAGTTGCCCCTCTACCCCCTGCCCTGCTGCTCCTGCCCTCTGCCTTGGAGCTACCACCTGGTAGCCTCCTGCTTTCTGTGCAGAGTGCGGGAGGGAGAAGACGGAGGGTGCTGATGTCAGGGTGTGTCTCTTCCCCACATTTCTGTACCTTATCTCCACAGAGAGAGAAGGGGATTGACAGAGATTTGCACTGCCCAGCTCCCTCCCTCTCACAAACACCAACTGTCCTTCACTCTCATCTCCTAACCCAACACATACGTCCGGGGAAGGGGAGTTAGGGTTGTTGTTACTACTTTTACTGCTTGCAAAGTGCTTTATTTTTGGTTTTTGACTGGTCTGTGCATTTCATAATTTTCATTTTTCTTACGCTTAAATTTCTTTTAGTTGAGTTCTAAAATGCCTAACCTGTCATGGCTGGAATAATTATCCCTGTTGTAATTGCTG